ACATATATTATATATATGTTAACAAGGACTTTGAGCTACTTACGTTTCACGCAACTTGTGAGAAAATCAGGGTAATTGTCTTAACTAAATGCTCTATTCATAGGTTTTTTTTGTTCTCGAGGCGTAAAMTTYGTTCTCGTGACTGCATTTAGATATTATTTCAGTTCTTTTGTTAAGGAGTGATGGATTCTTTTTTACTAGAATCCACAGCCAGAATGTGTCAACAAACATTGCGCAATCCTTCCTTCGCCTCGTATAGATAAGCATTTTCCAAAGACTCACAAGTTTARCAAATTATTCAACCGAAACAACTTGAAGTAAGCTACAGCTTCATACCGAATATGACCAGTATCATTAAAAAGCACAACAAAAAGATCCTCAATGCAAATGCAATCACAAAAGGTGAATGTAACTGCAGACAGAAAATCCTCTGTACTCTCGACGGTGAATATGTCAAACAAAAAGCATTGCTTACCAAGCTTGTCCGGCTCATACCAGTGTCAGGCGACACGATGGAATGACCGATATGGAGTTTACGACGAGATACAACGCGCATAAGTCATCTTTCAACAACCACAAGTTGTCCAACAAAACCTCGCAAAGCAAACATGTATATGGGACTTAAAGAACAACAACATCGAGTTCCAAGTAAAATGGAAAGTCAATCAAACACTCTAAATCTTACAATGGAAATCCTTCAAGGTGCAACCTGTGTCTAGCCGAAAAAATGTACATTCTTACTAGTGGAAAAGAATCCATCACTCCTTAACAAAAGAACTGAACTAATATCTAAATTCAGGTACGAAACAAATTTTACGCTCCGAGAGCAAAAAAAAAACCTATAAATAGAGCATCGAGCTAAGACCAGTAGCCTGACGATCGCACAAGTTGCGTGAAGCTTTAAGTAGCTCAAAGTTCTTGTGAACATATACAAAAACTTTTGTATAAACTATAACCTTCACGATATTGATCAAAGGTCTCCTCCTCCTCTTTGTTGACAAAAGATACCAGATCTGCACCTKCTGACATCAARCGACACCGCTGACGAGCTGATTCGGCGGTTACATGTTCATTAACAAACTTATAGGCAGCGGACCGGCTTCGATACCAACCACCTAGAGATATGATCATAGTATATGTACTTTGAGAAGTAGTGCTTCTATTAAATTAGTTTCAGCTTTTAGTCTTAGGCAATATATACAATATGAGCGGGCGATCTGTATGAGGATTTAAAACAGCGAGCTGTTTTAAACCTCATACAGATCGCACGCGAATATTGTATATTACTTATGAAACGTTGAGGTAAACTAGCTCAGGCTTTAAAGAAACTTTTGAAAAAAAATTCAATCTGAACGAGAAAATCAAAGTTAAAGTTTATGCAAATGAACAAGAAATCTGTATGTAATATACAACTCTCTTCATGGGCTATGATTTCTATTGTGTTTTGCCTTATAAATATTAATGATTTTTATAACWTTTTTTAAGTGTTTCATCAGTTAACATTCAGCCCTCGTGCATGAATATTATATATAATTTATTTTGTTTTGTTTTGCTTTTCACGTGGGCTTCCAGTCGCCCTCGTGKCCTGATTTCATTGTGACCAGCTGGTTTGTGGCCTGATCGCGATATCTATCTGGAAAAAATCGCGCGCTTTAAAGGTTGTAAATTTGATGTATATATGATGTAAATGTTCAAAATGATGTAAATTTGATGTAAATCACTTCCATCAAATTTACATCATTTTGGACACTTACATCATATTTCCATTAAATTTACAACCTTTATGGCGCGCGATTTTTTCCAGTGTACGGCTTCATTGTGACCAGCTGGTTTGTGGCCTGATCGCGATATCTACCGCTTCATTGTGACCAGATGGTGGTTTGTGGCCTGATCGCGATATCTACGGCTTCATTGTGACCAGCTGGTTTGTGGCCTGATCGCGAT